CTGAAAAAATGGTAGTTCTTTCCACAAAAATCCGCTTGTGCCCTGCCCGTCAGGTCACTGATGTTGCACGGTAGGGAGACAATTGCCATAACAAACAAACAACGATGGCAGTTGAAATGCTGGCAGCGAAGTAGGCTTAGACGCATGATGAGGGTTAAATGGCAGGAGTGAATCTCTTCTCTTCAAGATTCAGATGACCACAATAAATGTGAAAAAAAATGAAAAGGAAGTTAGCCCTGCTATAAAAACTAGTTATATAGAAACTTCAATCCAGTCCTCCAGCGTCTTATGTGGAAGAAGAAATACGGTAGACGTCGAAATGAGACAGAGACAGACCTGCTGTCGGAGAGGAATTTATATCTCCTACTACCATGCTATAATCGCTGCCTTATAGGAAAAGTGCTGCAAAATTGCGAACACAACGGAAACCACAAACCAGAGACGTTTTATTTACGTAAACGCCTTGAACTGATTATCGCAACACACCCACAGAGAACAACACACTTTACATCTCACGGTTTCACAGAATGTGCATTACTTGTGACAACATTCTCCTTCTTCTCGTGAAACTAACAGTGCGGTGCATATTTTCGTTCTGATGTCATCTGGTTGTATTGTTTTATTCATGAAGCACTATATTTGTGGCTACATGCTACAACAGGGCACAATCTCATGCTTCCTTCTACAAAAACTGTGAATTTTTGAATCAGTTACTGGCCAACTGGTTCACAGTTATCATCCTGCACAAGCTCTAGACTCCGTCAGCGGCAGCGTTGAACAACACCTTGGCAGGAAATATCGAAGCATCTCCATTATCGACGTTGTTATTACGTGAAACTTGAATAGCTCAATACACTCTCAACTTTTGCGTGGCTCCAGTCTCATGAAATTGACACCGGTAGAGCAATAGATGAATTATGGTGTCTAATCGCATTACCTATTAATTATTATTCTATAAGTTTATTAAGCGTCCTGTACTGAAAAGGATACGCCTCTACGAGTGCTTACTGCCTGTTCTGTTTCACTAAGGTCTTGAATTCGTCCAGTATCTCTGCATTAGCCGCTGATAGCGCCGTACACTGCATGACCTCGGATTCGGTCGGTTTGACCGAATTCACAGAGTTTACGGTCGAATATTCAGAGTTTGAATGCTCTGAGTTCTGCACGGTCAAGTTTGCGGCAAGATCTGCAAAATGCGTCGTCAAAAAGGTGAAGAATCTAAAGTTCAGATAACCTGGAGATATGACCCCTACGGCACATTGCAAAGCCGAACGAATCAAGTTGTCTAGAGCAAACATCCAATGTGGTTTGATTTTCTGTTGGTGCAGGATTTTATACATCTGAAAAAAGTCGACATAAAAATAGAAACTACGGTGTGAACCGAAGAGAAATGTAATACCGCGTCCTGAAAGTTGTACAGCGCGACGTGTAGGTGACTGATCGATGATATGTCGAAATCTAACTGCTCTTCGATGTC